ACTAAGTTACAAAAATAAATAAATAAATAAGATATGGAAAAGTGTGATGAAAATGAATTATTGGGGAAGAAAAAGTAGATGAAATTTGAATTTAATTTAATTGCTGGGAGGCAAAGACTATGAAGACAAATCCCACTTGTCTCTTCCTTCCCTTTTGTTTTCGCCCAAATACATCAGACAAAATCTTAACTCACTTTAAGATTATAAGCTCGTCTTTATGTTTGCCCACTTTCCACATGTTATCTACTTCAACTAAATATACCCATAAAATAATTAACTATACCTAATGAAAATGCTGAAGTCATAACAGTCCATTAACTTTTATTAACGAGGTTTTGAAAACCGGACTGGATTGGCAGATTAGACCGGTTCAATCGGGAACTGGCCTGCTCAACGGTCCGGTTTGAGCTCTGAGACCGCTAGGGCCAAAACCGGCTATTCAGTAATGTTTGTCATTGTTTTATATTAATTGCATTTTGAATGTGAGTACTAATTTGGACATTGTAACTTTATTGTTCAATAAATAAATTCTAATTAACACGAAATTTTGACATCATGTGTTAGGTAAAGTTAACATCACATTCTCATATTCATCTTTATTAAATAAGTATATGTATACTTTTATTCATATTTGAAAAAAAAAAATAAATGAAAATTTTTAATATTTCATTACAATAGAGTTGAACTAAAGTGTATTTTACTAAGTTATCTAAACAAATGAATATTAATAATTTTAAGTTACAATTTGGAGTAAACGCAAATTTATTATGAGTAATGACATTGACACCTGCCAGGGCCTCACCTCTCATAAATAAGACCAGCTTTGAAATTTTGAATTTTAAAACATTCATAAAAACATTAAATGCAAAAAAAAAAAAAAAAGCAAATATATAAGAGAATAACATATTAATTAATAGAAGTGGATATAAAAATTATTGAATAAATTAATAAAAAAAATTCAATAAGAAAATTATGCAATTTCAAAATATAATAGTGATAATTATCAATAGGTAAATAAAAATTATTTGCATCTCAGAAATTAACCACAAACTAATTCAATCAAATACTATATGAAAATATCTATTTTCACCCCGTTTTGAAGTCTTGTTAAATTTTTCACACCGCTCAACTAAAAACTAAGTTTTTCACCCCAGAAAGTACGAAGGTTATGCGAAAACTATCGCATATTCATCGCATAACTGTCCATATGCGAAGGTTATGCGAAAAACTGTCGCATATCAATTGCATTACTGTGCGAAGGTTATGCGAAAACTGTCGCATATTCATCGCATAACTATCATATGCGAAGGTTATGCGAAAAACTGTCGTATAACTGTCACATATCAATTGCATAACTGTGCAAAGGCATTGTGCGATGAATATGCGATATATGCGACAGTTTTTCGCATAACCTTCACATAGAGACAGTTATGTGATGAATATGCGACAGTTTTCCCATAACCTTCGCACTTTTTAAGGTGAAAAACTTAGCTTTTTATTGGGTGGTGTGAAAAATTTAATTTGTCTTTGTTATGGGGTGAAAAAGATTTTTTCCCTAGAATTATTATGTTGTTAGAAACTCCTAGCCTTTGATTGTTAAATAGTTATGTATCTTTTCAATAAATATTTATATTAAGTGACATAATTTAAGAAATAATATAAATAAAAATATAATTATTTACTTATAATATATAACTTATATAACCGGTTCTTTTTTTTTTTTTTTGGTAGCCAACTACGATATATGAAGTGTTGTCCGATTAATCCGTTGGTCGACTGAGTATGACTACTGGCACGAGAATTTATAAATACATACGTGCCACATAGATTTCAACTGTACAGCCTGGACCACCCTTTCCCTACATTCATGATCATTAATTATTTCACAACATTTTATAAAAATTAAAAAAAAATCAAATTCATTTTTTAAAAAATTTAATTTTATTATTTTTTTTACCTATTATTATTAATTTCACCTTCTTGACAAAAAGCACCCATTGTCGTCTACTTTGAACACCTCCACAGATCCCATTCTCCCCAACTCTCTTTCACTTTATCACTCTTCACAAATGAAAAAAATTTACAAAATGTGTTCAAAATTTTGAATTTTCAAGATTTTTATATAGAAAAAAGACCCAAGAAATCAGCTTTTGGGGGGAGATTGAATCAGAATTTTTCTATTTTTTTTTTCCATTAATTTTCTTGAATTTCAAATGGGAATTTGCACATCCAAACCGAAACCCATCCAAGAACGTAATCCTCGTTCATCAGTTGGTGAAATCAAGGGACAGGCCCAGAATAAAGAGAAGCCAATCGCGCCGGAGAATAACAGCAATGGCGAAAATGGCGTGAACGTCGTGGAGAAGAAGAAGAAGAGCGAGGAAAACTCGGAAGCGGGTAGAAAATCCCCGTTTTTGCCGTTCTTCTACAGCCCCAGCCCAGCCCATTACCTTTTCTCGAAGAAATCTCCGGCGAGATCTCCTGCGCAGGGTACCGGGACCCCGAGGAGGTTCTTCAAGCGGCCGTTTCCGCCGCCGTCTCCGGCGAAGCACATCAAGGCGGTGCTCGCGCGGCGGCACGGGTCCGTGAAGCCGAACGAGGCGGCCATACCGGAAGGGAACGAGGTTTCTGAATCGGCTGGCCTGGACAAGAGCTTTGGGTTCTCCAAGAAGTTTTACGACAAGTACGAGCTCGGGGAAGAGGTTGGTAGGGGGCATTTTGGGTATACTTGTCGGGCCAAGTTCAAGAAAGGGGAGCTCAAAGGGCAAGAAATTGCTGTTAAGGTCATTCCAAAAGCAAAGGTTTGAACTTTTTGTTTTCCCTGTCGGAATTGTGTCTTATAGTTTGGTGTAAATAGTGATTAGTATCTGGTTCTTGATCTTGATCTTTTCTGTTTTTAAGGTTTTTTGACTTTGTGTTGTGGTGAAAATGATCTGATCTGTTGTACTTGTCTGCATTTTTGTCTCTAAATTAATATTGTTTCTGTGAATTGTTTGAAATCTCTTTCCTGGTGGCTTCTGATACATTCAGTTGCAGAATGTCTGAGATGATCTTAATTTGATAAGTGGTAATTTTTGTTTACGAACTATTTCGAGTTGAATAGGCTGGATTTTGACTGGCCTTGCTAAAAAAAAAAAAAACCAAAAATTATGGGAAATAGTCAACTGATCAGAGATTGGCTTCTAGCTCTCACATTGCCTGAAGTGGTTGACTTCATGTGATTAACCCTGTAAAGTGATGCAAGATTTTTAGTATCCAAGTGTTTTGTACTTTGCAAGTCAATGTTATAACAGGGGGCAGTGAAATGATTAAAGTATACATAAGAAATCGCCTATATTGTGTTGAAAGATCATGCATATTTGACCCTTTCGTTTTCGTTCTCGCCTTATTCCATTAAAAAGGAGAATTTTGAAAACTTCATCGTTTACTTGACCTTCATGGAAATTAGTGGTGGACTTTCTCCACTCATCATCCATTACTAGCAGAGAACAAGGATTTGAACTCTGGGGGGCTTTGAAAATGTATGCATCACCTCATTCATGTAATGATGCTAAAATATTGACTGATGCTGTAGTAGACCCTCATGGTAGGCAATGACTGTAAATAGTTCTAATTAATAACCTTTCTCTCTATTGTGTTCATAATTTTCTTTGCCAGATGACCACTGCTATTGCTATTGAAGATGTTAGAAAGGAGGTGAAAATATTACGAGCTTTGACAGGTCACAGCAATTTAATACAGTTTTATGATGCTTTTGAAGACCATGACAACGTCTACATTGTGATGGAGTAAGCTTCGATTTAATGATCGTAGTCTTGGTTCATTCTTTTTACCTGACTTCCCAATTCACTGCCCTTAATAACTGAACTTTTTGAAGAAAATTTGGTGTTGTCTTAATTTGATTTTGAAATCAGTAATTATTTCAGAATTCATCTTTCTTGAAGCATTTACTCACAGTGTCACACATGGACTTATCCCAGGTTATGTGAAGGAGGTGAGCTTTTGGACCGAATACTTTCAAGGTATTTCTTGTACATCTTCTGGAACTATGTTGTAAAGAATTCATAAGAACATATTATTTATTTGTTTGTCTATTGATTTTTTTGAAGATCTGTGCAATATATCATCAGCTTAACAATAAAATACATTTTTTTTTTTTTGCTCTTTACAGGGGTGGTAAATATGCGGAAGAGGATGCAAAGGCAGTGATGATACAAATACTTAATGTTGTCTCATTCTGCCATCTTCAAGGAGTGGTGCATCGTGATCTTAAACCCGAGGTACGTTTTTCGTGCCATCTTGGAACACTAATTTTTATTTTTATTTTTTTTTTTATTTCATGGTTCAAATGTGATTTTCTCTAGTCTCGTTCCACAAATACCTGAAATATCAAGATGGTTTTTTGAGATCATCCCTTTTGTATATTTGTAGATTCATATTTTTTCATATGTATTCTTTTACAACTATCAGTTTTAGCTTGTCTAACTGTAGCTTTGTTGCGGGCCCAGAATTTCCTATTTACATCCAAGGAAGAAAACTCGCTACTGAAGGCCATAGACTTTGGTTTGTCCGATTTTGTGAAACCAGGTTGGTCTAACTGTTAGACCAATTCAAATTCCCAAATGTGGCAACTTTAGAAAAATTCATTTCAACTTTTGGTGCAAATTATTTGCAGATGAGAGGCTTAACGACATTGTAGGCAGTGCATATTACGTGGCACCCGAAGTTTTACACAGGGCATACAGTACAGAGGCCGATGTTTGGAGTATAGGTGTGATAGCTTATATTCTTCTGTGTGGCAGCCGCCCGTTTTGGGCTCGAACGGAATCTGGGATTTTTCGGGCCGTTGTGAAAGCTGAGCCTACTTACGAGGAACAACCCTGGCCCACACTTTCATTGGAGGCTAAGGACTTCGTAAAGCGCCTCCTGAACAAGGACCCGAGGAAAAGGATGACTGCACCTCAAGCCTTATGTGAGCTTCTTTTCATTTTCGCCTGATTAAAAAATGTCATTTAAAAAAAAAAAAAAACAAAGTTCCTAATTCTGACAGTGTGTTGATTTTCTTATTCAGGTCATCCATGGATAAAAAATATTAATGGCGTAAAAGTGCCGTTGGACATATTAATATTTAAACTTATGAAAGCTTACATGCGTTCATCTCCCCTAAGGAAAGCTGCTTTACGGGTGCGTAATTTTTATGTGAATATTTGAAGAACAACGTGAAATTGTCCAGCATGGGCACTTGCTTTAAAAATTCTGGTCAAACTCCTATCTTTGTGATGGCAATAATCTGCTGAATGTGATTTTTAACAACTTCAATGGAGATATTATCGCGCATTTTTTAATTTATTTTAGTTTTCGTTTGCTCTCACGATGAGTCTGTGCACGCAAATGTATGTGAGAGATGGTACCGAATCATTTTCATTGTGCAATGTGTCATTTCCATTTATATTTTTTACCTATCTTCTGTTTGGTCATCTTAAATGTTTTCATTATCCAATGGCTTATCTTGTACGCATTTCTTAACAATTATTTGGATATAATTTTTTTTTTTCTTTTTGTTTTAGGCTTTATCTAAAACTCTGACTGTAGACGAACTCTTCTATCTAAGAGAGCAATTTGCACATTTGGAGCCAAGCAAAAACGGAACAATTAGCTTGGACAACATTAAAGCGGTTGGTAGTTTGCTCGATTGTTGTTTTAAAAAAAAAAAATCATTACTAACTTAAATGAAAACTTGTTCTGATATTTTTATTCTTTTCTGCGTCAGGCCTTGAAGAAGAACGCTACTGATGCCATGAACGAGTCGCGAATTTATGATTATCTTTCTTCGGTGTGCCTTTCTGACACTATGAATTATTACTAATTAACTATACATTTTCATAGATTTAAAATTCTTGCTCTGATTTTTTTTTTTTTTTTTCATTTGTTTTAAATCCTGTACACAGCTTAGTGCCCTTCAGTATAGACGAATGGATTTCGAAGAATTTTGTGCTGCAGCAACAAGTGTATACCAGTTAGAAGCTCTCGATAGATGGGAGCAACACGCTCGTTGTGCCTATGAACTTTTTGATAAGGAAGGGAACCGAACTATCATGATCGAGGAATTAGCTTCGGTAGTTACAATTTATTATTTTAATACCTTTTTATTTAATCGAATGATTTTAATAATTAACCATGAAATTATTTACACTCTCTCATTCATGCAGGAGCTTGGGCTTAGCCCAAGTGTTCCGGTTCATGCAGTTCTCCATGACTGGATTAGGCACACAGATGGAAAGCTTAGTTTTCTTGGATATGTTAAGTTATTGCACGGTGTTTCGAGCCGATCGCTTGCCAAAGTACACTGAAACTACTGGGAATAATTTTTTTTTTTTCCACACTATTTACGGTGATCTTCGAGAAAAAATGAAAAAAAGGCAGACGAGAGAAGGAAAAAAAAAAAAAGCGTGCTCGTGTGCCCGTGAAGTTGCGTAAAATTTGCACTCCCTGAAAGATGAAGTTGGCCTTAATAAGTTTGAAGTGAAATCCACCCCATCAGGCAATGTTATGACAAAAGGGATGCAGTTGTGTGTACCAATGTGTAAAGCATTTGTAGTATTTTTTATTTTTGAAAGGATTTTTTTTTTTTTTTTTTTTTTTTTGTGTTTTGATTGTGCAGCTTGAGAACATTACTGAGCTGCTTAGTGAACATTTTACACTTCTAAGTTCTAACATATAATATTGGAGAGACAAATTCCTTATTGTCACCATCTTTTGTTATATGCTTGTTTTTCTCTTGGTATTTATTGCAGAAGGATCCCTTGGGTTTGGGTTATTTACAAGAAAATCCAAAGCTTTTTTTTTTATTTATTTTTAAATAGTCTTTTTTTTTTTTTAACTGCAAATTATGGGTGTATCACATCTTAATTGGGGTTTAGATACCAGTATAGGGACTTATTCAAGGTAATTTTTAAAAAAGTAAAAAAAAAAAATATATAATTGTTTAAAATTTTATTTGGATCTAAGTCTTTTATTCTGATTATGCATCTATTATCTACTTATATAAAAACAGTATATATAAATATTAAATAACATGGTCAATGACTATTATTATCCAAAAATCCGAAACATTGGTTTTTTCTAGTTGAGTATGTTAGAGATGGGTCTTTCGTGGTTTCCACATTCTTTTTTTTTTTTTTTTTGTACAAGGACCTTCTGATTTCCGAATTCACAGGGGAACCGATTAATCCGGAATCGATCCGGGTAAGACCACAAGGGCGGCAAACCTCTTCCTCAAGAGTTGCGGCAAAGCTCTCCCTCAAGAGTTTTAACACTGTTGCATTCTCAGGGCTCGAACTCGAGACCACTGGTTAAGTTGGAAGAGACCCAAGTCATCTCATCCAAGCGCTCTTGGGTGGTGGTTTCCACATTCTAACTAGAGGAAAAGAAAATATTAACTAAAGTGATTAATTATTAGACATATTTTACATATTTGTAATAGAACAAATTATTATTATTATTATTATTATTATTATTATTATTATTATTATTATTATTATTATTATTATTATTATTATTTTATTTTTTCAAACGATAAATAACATTGCACTAAAAAATCAGAAGAGTACAATCGATTGCCCACTGGCAATACAAAGGACCTTTGCATTGACAACGTCAAACACAAAGGTGAAAGAAAGCTTGTACGGTGGGAACCTCCCCGAGCTAGACACCAAAGTAGACAAAACACACCTCTACTGGCGAATAAACCACTCCCCAAATAGGAGACACGAGCACTCCCCAAAAGAGACCCAACAACAAACAACGTAAACCAACAACAAACAACAAACAAAAAACCAAACGAAACAAAATACAACTACAACAAAATAAATACAATAAATAGAGTAAAGCCCTCCTCAATGTCATCAACCTGAGTCCAAACCCTCCCCCATGTAAGACAACACCTGAAGACAACCTTAAGAAAGCCACGACCAAGGCAGGCCCAAGCACAGATCTAAAAACTCCTCACTCTAAATAAGCCAAGGCTATGGCTAAGGCTAACTAGATCCGACCGCCCCAGAATGAAAGACAACACCGGAGGCCAGCAATCGTCAACATCCCACTCAACTCCGGCAGCCACGACCACTTCCAACCGAAGAAAAAAATAAAGTAATAGAACAAATTTTGGGTTGTCAGGAAAAATAATAATAATAATAAACTAATTTTTCAGCTAAATCGAATTAGATATACATTTCTCTAAAATCTTATCTCACTTTCTTATCTTAAATTCTTAATTTTAGATGATTAAGTTTTCTTCGAACATTGACAGAACAATTGCTAATTTGCCACATTTGCACCTAAAAACTCTCCGTTGGATCTTCGAATGGCCGGCGAGAAATCGAAGAAAAGCGATTTCATCGAAATCTCATCTTCAGAAGAATCAGAATCAGAATCGGAATCAAAATTTGAATCGGAATCAGAACCTCCGTCGCCGGAGAGTGATGAAGATTTCTCCGAGAGGAACAGGTATCTTTGAACCTCGATCTACCTTTTCTTCATACGAACCTGTTTTTAATCAGCTCAATTGCTACCGTGCGCGTACGATTTTGCTCGGGGACGCTTTCGATCTCCTTTTCTTATGGCGGAATTTTTGAACCAGTGATGATGGTGAGGAGGAGGAGGAGGACGGTGATTCTTCTTGCAAGTGGATTGATTCGGAAGATGAAAAAGAGGATGAGTGTAATCGGGCCGATGATGATGATGAAGATTGTGTTTATAAAGATGATTTAGAATCAATGTGCAATAAAGTTGTTCAAATTATCAGAGGTGTCTGCATTTTGCGAGCTTGATTTATGTTATCAGGGTTGATTAATGTACATTGTGTGTTGTTGAGTCTTGAGTTTCTGGGTTGGAAGAATACTCGGTATTGCCGGTTGTTATTTCGGTTTCTGTTTTTTTTTTTTTCACTCTGTATGAGTTGCAGGGAGGAGTGATCTGCAAGAACTTATGTTGGTGGAATGTAAAGCGTATCTAAGACGACATGGGTTGAGACTGTCTGGAACTAAAGAAGAGTGCATTGAAAGGATCAAGGAGCACTTGAGGTTGGTGTTCCATTTGCCAACTTTTTTTTTTGTTAAGCTTATATTCATGAGTCTCATTCCTATGGTAAAACATCACAGAAAGTATAGTAGTACGCGTCTTATACTTTCTCTTGAGATTCTATGTGTTAGATTTACTAGGAGCTTCCATAACTTTGATTAAGTTATCTGTAGAGCATGCCCAGACATTTACACTTTAAGAATTCTTTTCCCATATGTTAAGGGGTTTTGATGAAAATGAATCATAGTTTGACATTTTTCATATTTATTTCTTGAATCATAGTTTGGCATTTTTTATCTTGGGAGCTCAATTTTTACCCAAGTACATTAGTGGTCTCGAGGCATCATTTACAACCAAAGTAGAGTATCGATATTTAATACATGTGTGTGGAGAAACATAAGGAAAATGGTTTTCGACATTTCGTCCCCCCACAGGTTAAAAGATGGAAATGGCGAAACATATTATCCCAGATCGTCATTTACGATTGACTGCACGGGTAGGTGACTTCACCCTATACCCTTTTTTGACTTTGGGAGAACTCAATTTTGCTTCTACATTTCTTCACTTTCATGACATTTTTTATCTCCAGGTGATGTGTGCAAAGGAGATGTCGTCTTGTTCAATCAGAAAGTACACCAAAAGTATTAAATCTTAACTGGCTCATAAATGTAATATGTTTTATTTAATATTAATTGTTTTCTTGGTTGATTTCATCAAATGAAGTCGTTCAAAGAAGATGCCTGGAAGCCGGAATCTTTGGCGGAGGACAGTTGCCGGGAGAATTGTCAAGGAAAGTTATGGTGCTGCCAAGCAACAACATACTTTCACGGTAATACCAATTATGATTAGGTGATGAAAATTGGAGAAATTCAAAATGAGAAAGTCTAATCACAGTGGGTGGCATTCACTTTTGGATCTCTGTAGTGATTATTCCTTTTATTTGTTTGGCGACCTACTCTTTTGTTTGGTCTTTTGCTATAAGCAAAGGTTGAAGTGCTTTGGTCCAAAGGGGCTAAGAGATTAGATCCAATGTCCCCTCTACTCGTGAAGGGCCGCAACCTGTACAAAATGAAGACATTTAGACAGGTACACCTAAAAGTTTTACTAGCTCAAAAAATAGCATCTCATTCTGATGAACAAATTGTTAAGATATTTTTCTTTTTTTTTTTCTATTTCTTTTGATGTAAAAGCGTTGGAAGAATGAAAAAGAGAGATTAAGAGTACTTGCTGAGAAGCATAAACGAGGAGCCGCTGCAAGAACAGTTAGAGCCATGAGAAATGCAAAAGCAGTTGTGAAGACGAAAAACTCCTCATCACATAAGGGTAATGCCACTGCATATTGCATGCTAGAAGATATACTGTTTGGATATAATTCGCATTATGTCAATGTTGTTCTGTAATGATAGGCCCCAAACGCCACAAGCATTCCCATCACATAGGTCCTTCGCATTCCCATCGCATAGGTCCTGGAAAAAGAGACAATACAACTCGAAATAAAAAACATCCAAATACATGTTTGGAGCCGTCAGCCAAAAACAAGAAATGGCAGCCTCGTCCGAATTACAATCCTTTTCAAACAACTTCGAGGTCAAAGCAAAATTCTCATACGAGGCATCCAAACCCGGTTTTCCAACCCAATGGAGTTCGAGAATTCCAAGGTTTTTCGTACAATTTTCCTGCCCAAATCCCTTACCATTTTCAGTCAAACGTTTTACCGAGAGAACAAGCGCATCACTACTTTCCTTCTCCTCGAGGTTTTGTGCCCCCAGCTGAATTACCATGCTTGGAAAATCCATTTCCATATTGGAAAGGATTAGGTCGAGGTAGTTATCCACATTCTAGGAGTTCAAATGTGCTGAGAAATGTGAACTACTTCCCCGGACTAATAGACAAGCACAACCCATCATCTTACCCGTCAAGTGTCGACACACACAGATGGAGATGATATGCTTTGAAGCTTCTGCAAGTGCAGCCCTACTCTTTTGTGTTCCAGTTCAGGGTTTCAGTTAAAAATGTGCAATAGGTGGAAATCAAAAATTGTGCGGCTTGAATTGTACGGAATTTGAATGAGCTTGAAAAGTATAAGTGACTTATTCATCAAATGCGTTCTTGATAATGAGTTGTTGCAATACCGCATGTCTAAAGATGACTATACGGGGGAAAATGTGCCAAATAACTTTTTCACGAGTACAATGCTTTGGGTCTAACTTTGCTTATGTGTCATGTAAGTAGACTTAAGTCTTGGATGATATGGACAAAAATATATAAAAGTGACAAAATTAACTCAATGCAAAGAGACTTAAGGGTAATCTGAGTCTTTTTTTTCTTGCTGCCACATCAGCAAGACTCAGTTTATATTTTTTTTCTTGCTGCCACATCAGCAAGACTCAGTTTATATGCAATTGCATGAGTATATATTTTTCTAAATTGGGTCTATTTCCTACGTGACCTATATAATTTTTATTCATTGAACTCAAAGCATTGTGGATGCTCCGAATACTAGAAAGCCGTTGGGATGTTTTGTTGTTAAAAACGATCACTTTCAGATGCTTGGATGCTGTTAAAAGATATTTCTTGAATGAATATCATTACTTTTCTTGAATGAATATCATTACTGAAAAACATAAAAAATTTGTAAAACATAAATTTAAATTTTGTAAAACATAAATTTTTGGTCAAACGATATTGTGGGAACTATTTCTATTTATCTAGGGATGAAAACGGAAACGGTAATTTCCGATTACCGGGAATCGTTTTCGAAATTTTTTCGGATTTGGAGGCTAAACGGAAACGGAAACGGTAACCGGAAAAACGGAAATGGAAACGGTAAAAAATTTCGAAAATGAAAACGAAAACGGTTTAGCCCTTTTCCGATCGTTTTCGAAAATTACCGTATTTAAACGGTATTTTACCGTCGGTAATATCGGCTCAACCCATACTAGGCTCAATTTTAATTATAAAGCCCAATCCAAATCCCAAATGGGCCAAATGCCCAAATCCCCTTCAGCCCAACCCTTCTACAGTGCCCAAATCCTGAAATTCCCTTCATCCATTTCGGTCTTCACTCTCGAGTTTATATATTATGTTTAACTCCCATCATTGTTTTAGTGATTTGTGTTTTGAATTCTGGGTTTCGTTTGTTGTGGTTTTTTTGTGGATTTGGCGGTTCCATGGTTGATTTCTCACCTAATTGCTCCAATTTCATGTTTCAAATTTCAATTGCTACTATTATTCCATGAAAATTTGGTGGACAAGTCACAATTCAATTGCTAGTTATTGGAATTTGTATGGATTTTGTTATAGCAAATGGTGTTAATTTTAATTTGGATTTTGCTACTATTATGCCATGAGAATATTTCAATTAATGTTTTAATGCTATATTTTATAATGTGATGTGTCTATCGTTTTTTAAATACCGTTTTAATATATTTCAATCGTTATCGATGTATTTTCGATCGGATAGTTTCGTTTTCGATATTACCGGAATACCGATGTCGTTTTCGTTTCCGACATTATCGTATCATTTTCGTTTTCGAGAAACAAATATGAAAGTGAAAATGGTTGAGCCCTATGTCGATCGTTTCCGATCGTTTTCATCCCTACCGAACAGCCCTTGAACGGCCTCGGTTCAGCTCCTGGATGACCACGTCTCAGCCCGGATAGCTCCCGAATTACCTCGCTTCAGCCCGACAATGCCCGAAAAGCCCCGGTTCAGACCCAAAGACCCAACAGC